GGCCATGAAATGAGCATCTAGCAATCATCTCTTCATTATGCTAGCCAGAATACATTTCAGAACTAAAGTCATACCATTCAAGAAATGTATGTTTGCTGTGTCACTCTGGCCCAGCACTTCGATCATGCCCAGAATCTTTTCTTCATTATAGGCCTGTTTCCCCCAAGTATCACTTTCTCTCATGTGATTTTTTTAAGATATATTTATAGTTCTTAATCTCCCTGTTTTATCAGCTTGTTTTATATGTTGAGAAGGATGTTGGTTTTTTTTAGGATGGAGGTGGGGTCAGTGTTCTTTCTCAGCTGTTCCCTTAATTTACAGTGTTGTCCTCATCTCAAAATCCTCTCCATTCACTCACTTATCCACTAACAATCTGTTGAGTCCCTGTGTAATTTCAGTCACTGCACAGGACATTTGGATAGAGAGATGAATTACAGTGCTGGACGCTGTATCTGGCACAGTGACCACCCTCAAGAAACAGTTGTAAAAAGACCCCCTTAAGAGCCCTGCTCAGGCCTCCCTCCCTCCCCCAGTTGGGCAGCTTTAATAACATTGCCGTCTAGTTGATTCTGACTTATAATGAACCTATAGGACAGAGTAGCACTGCCCCCATAGGGTTTCTAAGGATGTAATCTTTCTTTCTCCCACTGAGCAGCTGGTAGGTTTGAAGCACCAACTTTTCCATTAGCAATGGAGTGCTTAACCGTTGTGCCACCAGGGCTCCTTGCAGCTTTAATAGTTACCTCTAATTCTTCTGAATTCTCAGTCTTCTACGCAACCAACTCATTATATTAGTCATATTAACAGTTATAACAAACTTCCAAATTTCAGTGGCTTATCACCCTGTAAGTTTATTTTTTCACTCATATTGAACAGTCCAATGTAGTTCCTATTTTATAGTACAGTAAGTGGGTTTGTTACACAAGGTCATTTAAGGAACCGGGCTTTCAGAAGCTCAGCTGTCTTTCAAGATCACCTTGGATGTCCGTGTCCAGATTGCAGAAGGAGAAAGAACATGAAGGATTGCATGTGGTAGGTTTTTATGGGCAAGAGCCTGGAAATTGAAGAGAGCTCCTCCCCTTTCTTCCATTGTATAGAATGCAGGCACATAGGCACCTAACTGCAAGGGAGTGCTGGGAAATCAAGTAGTGGAGTCCCAAAAGAATGCCTTCTAAACTGGGCTGAATAATGCTATCCTATTGGCATGATAAAGTATGTCTCATAAAACCCTGTTGTTTTTTTTCCCCGCTGGTGAAGATAAAATTGATTGTCTTCCTTTGATAATTGATTGTTTTAGAAATCTTTTGGGAAATGAAATGGAGGGAAACATTTTATTTTCTTTTCCCAATACAATGAACTTGCTGAAAAAGTTGTTGTGTGCTATTGCATCAATTGTGACTCATAGCGACCCTGTAGGACAGAGGAGAACTGCCCCATAGGGTTTCCTAGGACGTAGTCTTTACAAGAACAAACTGCCAGGTCTTTTCTCCCTCGGAGTGGCTGGTGAGTTCAAACTGACCTTTCTGTTAGCAAATATTTGAAAGTTTTTCTGTTAACCTGCTAGAAATGCTTTCTATTAGGAGATGCTGTACTCTTTCTCAATATTGCTTTTCCCATCTGACAAACTACTTTGTGAAATAACCTTGTTTGTGAAATCCTCCTGAACCTCTCCCCCAACTCCTGATTTCTCAGGCACAGTTAGCAGTTGAATCTTCTGTGTTCTGTTAGAACTTGAGCATACTTATGTTAGTTAATTCATTTATCCATTCACTCATCCAAATATTTAATGCAAAAGAAAAAAAAGTTGACATTCACTGTGCTCAGTGCTGTGATCGAGTTACATGCTAAATAGGACAATGGCACAGGCAAGAGGTGCCCAGCACTATCTTGGGAGTGAGGGAGACATGGGGAATGTTTCTGTTAGAGGAAGGACATTTGGGATGAGTTTCTTTTGTTGCTCATGCCTACTTTTCCTCCTCCAGACAAGAGATTTCTGAGGAGAAGAACCTTGTTTTGATAATCTCCAACTCCAGTAGTGCCTGGCTCATACTAGATGCTCAGTAAATTGAATTAACTGAATGTACATATAAGTGAATACATTTATACGTTTTATTTATGCAGCACTTTACACTTGTAATTTTCTATATATTATCTCATGCAGTGTTTATAATAGCTCTGTGGTAGAGCAAATATTCTGTCTTCTGGTTAATAGATAATGAACCTAAATTCAAAGAGGTTTAATGTTTTGCCAGTGTCACACAGTGAGTTAAAATAGTAGTTCTCGGGTATTCTGCACTTTAATCTAGTGCATTTTTCACTCTTACAAACAAACATTTAATTTTAAGTATCAAAATAGTGCTTTAAAATTTGTAGCATGTGCATTAGAGATAAAGCATCAAACCAGTCTAATCTTTCTGAGTGATGAAGGCTATTCATTTGTATGAGTCAAGCAACAATGTTCTTTCTAACAGAAATGAAGAGATGGATCTTCTACTATGTTTTATATCTGCTTGTATTCCTACTAACGCAATTTTTTGTACCCAGTAGGTGCTCTAAAAATATTTAACTAATTGATAGTGGTTTAAATGTGTAAATCAGAGTCACCTAAATTGGACAAGCTTTCTGTTTGAGCTGCCATAAGTTTTTACCTATGTAATCATTGTGTCACAGGGTACAAAAGTTGCGTATATTGTAATCAAAGAAAAAACATTTTTAATTTGAGGAATTTTTAATATACTTGCTTGGTTTCTGGTTTTCTTCTTCCTATTCTTCCGGCACTTACACCCTTAGCGAGTCTGCCGACGGACACTGTGTATGGAAGCTGAGACTTGCTGTATCATCACATTCAGCTGGTTGAGATATTTCATGATGGAGTTGCTTCAGTGTCTTTTTAAAAAGGATTTTAACTTTTTAGCTTGGAATAATTTCAAATTTAAAGAAAGGTGTCAAGAACTGAACAAGAACTGTTTACCCTTCATTCATATTCCCCAAATGTTCACATTTTACCAGTTTGACTCTATCCTCCCCCTCCTCTTTATTTGTTTTTTTTTTTTCTGATCAGCTTTTGAACAAATTTCCAACCTGATGCTCCATCGCCCCCAAATATGTTAGTATGTTAATCCCCAAACCAAGAACACTGTCCTACATGACAACAATTCAGCTATTAAAACTGAAGACAAAACGAAACAAAATAGCACTGATACATCACTACCATTGAATCTTTAGACTCCATTCAGGGTTCATCAGTTGTCTCAGTTATGTTCTTCCCAACAGAATTTTCCAGTTCACAGTCACACCTTGAATTTAGACTGTGCCTCAGTCTTTCCTTGACTTTCGGGACTTTGATACTTGTGAAAATGCTTCAGTGTCTTTTGATGCTGTAAAAATTTTAAACTTTCTTAGTACAGGAGTTTCTGATAGGCAGTCTTTGCTGCCATATGAGACTTATCCATACTTTATATCATGAAGGCATCAGCATTTTCTGTACAAATATGATGACCTAGTGCCTAATTTATTAGCTCGTAGATGACTGCGATGGAGGCATTGCTATTAGGAGCATAAAATGACACTTTTCCACGTGTATGTTCTGCCCGGGGCAGATTAACCAGTAAGCATGGTACGACACACAGGCTTACTTGTGTTTACTTACTAATGTGTAGTGAATAATTTCACATGGGTTTCACCACAAAAACAGGTGAAATTGTTCACTTCAGATTAGTAAGTATGCACAAGTAAGCCCGTGTGTACCTTGCTTATTGGGTAATCCGGCCCTGGTTCAGCTCCACTTCAAGCTTAATGTGTCTGAAACCAAACTCATTTTGTACCCTCCACTTGCCCCTCTTTGCCCTAGCCATTGCCAGCTGCTTCCTTTTCATTTCACGGCAGGCTTCAAACTACAAAGATTTCATGACTACTTGCTGCTGTACCTTATACATCACATCTAATTCATGTCCACGATTTGTGTGGTGACCTCTAAATTGTCTGATATCAGGGAATTCTAGACTATGATTTAATGCCAGGTGTGAATGCATTTCCTAATTTCCTGATAACTATGAAATTATGGTAAAGGAGCCAAGAGCACTGTGAGATTTTACTGTCAAATCAGAAAGAGGACTTGGGCTAAAAAAAAAAAAAATTTTAAAGGAAGTTTCAATGTTAAAGACATTTCTCTTCAGTATACTTGAGTATGAATTTATACTATCATTTCTGGAAGCACTTGCTTTTTCTAAAACTCTGTAACCAGGAGACAGAGTAGACAGTGGGAATTATCCAGAGTGTGTGGCACATAGAAGGTGGTTGGTGGATTTTTAATGAATGAGGGTATGGACAAATGACTAAAAACAGAATGGTCATGGTGAAAGTATTCAGAACTGTTTCTGTTTTTGCTTAACAGGAATATGTTTTTTGCTTGCTTTTTCTAAGAGCAAAATAAATGCCAAGTGCTAGAAAGACACACTTCATATTAATCATTACTAGAGAAATGCCTCAGCCTACTACCTAATGGCATTGTAATCTGCAGGAAATCCAAGAGAGTGCTTTAGAAAGTGTCTGTAATTGAAAACCCAGTGATGCCAGTTATATGTTTAGAAAAGAAAGAAATGGATGTCAGGGGTATGTGGATTTCAATCTAATATTTTTGTAATAATAATAATAATAAGCCACAATTCTGGAAAGGTTCTTAAGATTTCTCTTATCCGCTGATTGTCGTATTGCTAATAATTCATCAACGAAATAAGATAGCAACACTTAATGAAAGTGACCTATGTAATAATTAGTTATCTGAACTTTATCCTTCAACTGTAGAATAACAGAATATTAAGATTCAAAGTCTTCTACAAGAGGGAGGGGTTTTTACACATCTGCTAATAAAGCTTCAAGTACTAAGGAGGTCAATGAGTTTTTCTTATTACTCTTTGCAGCAGTTCATTGTTGTAACTTAATTTTATTCTCCCACACACAAAAGAAGTTACTACTTTGTAGTTTCTGTTTCTGTTTTTCAGGGAAAGATGGTGAAAGGAATGGGAGGTGCTATGGATTTAGTGTCCAGTGCCAAAACCAAAGTGGTGGTCACCATGGAGCATTCTGCAAAGGTAATGTGTGTTCTGCTTCTAGAATGCTGCTGTTTTTGAAATTCCCAACTTACCACAACCTAGTACACCAAGTCACCTGACCACGGCTTTTATTGTTTTGTCTGGTTCATTCAAGTTGATAACATTTATATTTTAGAGAGAAAGATTACAAGTAAAGTATATTTATCATTATTGGATTAAATGGTTGTTTGAGTGAAGCAAACCATGAGGATGTTCTTCAACTATTTGCCTTGCATGCAAATTAAAGGTAGAAGGTATAATGTCTCCAAAGGCAATGAGCAGATGTTTTGATTCAAGTGTTTTGACTTGGGTTTTAAGAATATTATTATGGTTGCTGTCTGTGTGCAAAATGAAAAGCACAACAGAATGTGGGCTTTTAACAACTGTTACTTCAGACGAACACTATAGCATCTTACCGAGCCTATGAGGTTACATTTTGAGAAAGGTGTTAAAAATTAGTAGATTTGTGATAGCTTATTCTGAAAAAGATTATACTTTTATTTTCATAAATCATCAAATATTTATTAATGCCAGTTATGTGGTAGGAATTACTAGAATTTGATAATAGCCAAAACTGGAAAAAAATCACTGACTTTATGGAGCTTATATTGATAATTATGATGATGATAATAACAACAACATCCTATGCTAGTAATAAAACCAAAAACCAAACCTATTGAGATCAAGTTGATTCTGACTCATGGTGATGCCATGTGTTTCAGAGTAGAACTGCGCTCCATAGGGTTTTTAATGGCTATAATCTTGCAGAAGAAGATCACCAGGACTTTCCCCATGGTGCTACCATTTATTGAGTTTTTACTTTGTGCTAAGACTAAATTAATAACTTTGTGTATTTATGTGTGTATTTTAATCCTGATAATAATCCCATGGTCATGATGTAGATTATTTTTTATGGTTCCAGAAACACAGCTTCAGAGATTTTAAGTAACTAGTGGTCACATAACTAGTGGAACTGAGATTAGACGTGGATGTCTCTGGCTCCAAAGCCCAATTTTCTAACCATTGATTTAACTTTCTTCCTTGTTTCCAAATCAGTGTCTTTGAACCTCAGCTTAATTCATCCGAATCCATAGATTTCTGCTGACAGACAAAGTTGATACTAGGTGGTACCTTCTTCAGTTTGTATGCCCTTAGTTTATTTCCCTTCATTGTTGGTCATTCTCAATTTTAAAGCAAAATCCACCTGCTGTCACTTTGAGACTTACTGATTTGAGCAGAAATGGTAGTTCATTTGTCCTGTTTTTATTTAGAGATGCAGCATTGTGGGAGAGCCATAGAGCTGGAGGATTTGCGTTTGACTTGCTTCCCATGGAGAGTTCTGTTACAGAGCTATGAGTGCCTTCAAATGGCTTTGTTGTGAAAACTGTAATAAATCTGGAATTATCATAAATTGTTTGGTAAACAGTGTGAAGTGAGCAATGGTGCATAAATTTGGAACAATAGAAATGAAATCAACACAGGTGACTTCTGAGAGATGACTTGCAAAAGCATCCAAAATACTTCATTTCAGAGGCAAAAGGATGCCAAGCATGCAAATCAAATCCAAATCTTCTCTGGAACATAATGTCTGTTTGGAGAAAATTCTTTCCAACTTTCCTTTTGTTGTTACTTTAATGTTGACACATAGGCACTGAAGTCCAACTCATTATGGATTATTTTTGTGCATTCGTTTTCAAAACATTCGCCCTGTATATTTAATAAATTATCTTTTTTTTGGTTTGTTTCCAAAGTCTTTTCTCTCCCGTCAGCTGGAATTCCTGATAGAGGAAAATAAATGGTGCCTCAAACTTCTGACTAGAAATTCCTTATGAAAGCTTTTCACAGAAGCAATATAATATATTTCCCTCTTCTTCTGTTGGTGGGGACATTGGTGTCGAGTTTTAGACCAGAATTGGAGTTAAGTACTTTTCTCCCAGACACTTACATGTGAACAAACCAACAAAAGAATGTACTTATGATTAAAATGATAGTAATTTGTTCTCACTTAATAGTTAGGTAATCTTGAAAATAGAAAAGAAGTTCCTCTTTTTGCCATCTTCATATTTTACCCTTAGTCCTGGAATATGTGGATGTTGTTATTTATTGTTCACTGAGATTAATTGTTAATCCCCAGATTAATTTTTAATCCCCAGGTGATTCTTATGTATACCTAAGAATTTTTGTGTATACATAAGAATCATCGGGGGATCTTGTTAAAATTTAGGTACTGATTCAGTGTATCTGGGGGGTGGAAATGCAAGTTCTCAGTGGGGGTCAAACCGAAAAGAACTGGTTCAAAGCCTGGTTTGCTCTGGCTAAATATTGGTTGGGGTTGGAAAGGAGATAGAGAGAAGAGGTTGTTGACTTCTGGTAGCCTCTCCAGTTAATGATCAGTTCTCTTAGACGTACTGGGTAACTTCTGCTGCTTTCTGATTAAGTGAATAGCCTGGAGGACTAATCCCTAGAGTTTTGTAAAACTAGGAGTAAGAAGTTTGCAGTGAAGGGTTACAACCTGAGAAAAGAGATATGATCTTCCTGTATTCTTGTGCTACTAATTTTTTTCTGTAAGTGGGAGTAGCTGCCAGCTGGTTTTCAGGTGCAGCTTCTTTCCTTTTACTCCCTTTCCTGCTCTGTAGGCTTGCAGGTTACAGCTGCAGGTTGTTTATAAATAGAACATTACTTGCCTTTTAAAAGCATGCTGTTTTTGTTGTTGCTTTAATCAGACAAAAGAATCTCTTTCCTTTCAAGTCTTTGCAACCAGCCATTTCCTTCAGTTCAGGGGCCAGCAGCTTCTGGAATTTGAAACCTGGCTGCCCACTAGTGCTGCTCTAGGGTAATTATCATAATGTTTCCCCTGCCTTAAAACTGCCTCTGGAGATGGTACATGGGCACAGGTGTCAAACTGGCTTTGTAACATGATTTTCATTTACGCTTAGGAATTAAGAGTTCTGGGCAAAATTGGCAAGGTGTTTTTGGTATCCAGCCACCTTCCCTCTTAAGCCTCTTTTCCATCTCTTGGCATGTTCTCTCTGCCCTCTAAAAGTGGGAAGAAAAAGAAGGAAGGGAGTTACAATATGAGTCCTTACCAGATACAAAGCTCTGTGCTTGGCGCTGCACATACTTTATCTCTTTAGCTTCTCAGTGATTAAGATGTAGGCAGTTAAGAAACTTGCCCAGGTAAGTAGCAGAGCCAGGAGTTTGATTCAGTTTGGTCTAGCTGCTATACCTGTTCCTTGCACTACACTGCCACCTCCTACCAAAGCTTCCTCTGCATTAGCATCCCACCCACACCTGCACTTTTCTGAAAGCTTCTGGTTTCAGAATTACCCTTCTTTTCTTACTTTTTTTTGTTTTTTGTTTTCATTTTTCCTGGTCAAAACTCTTCTTGCTTTTATAAGACAGGTATCTGCAAAGTGCTTAAAAGAAAACAATCTATGAGTATCTAATTGTGACTACTAGTACCCATCTTCCCTTCTTCCCTTTTATATTAGAATTCCCAAAGTTCTAGTTGGGGCATGTCGTTGCCCACTGACAGACTACATTTCCCAGCCTCCCTTGCATGCAGATGCATCCATGTGACTAAATCTAGGTCAATGGGATTTGAGCATCTGTGATGGTGCAATTTCTGGTCATGTTCTTAAAGATAAAACTGATTTTATTGGATTTTATCCCTCTTCTGCTATCTGAGAAAGGCCTCAACTGCAGTAGTAGCTTTGGACCCAAAGTTGTAAACCATGTGTTGAGAGTTGCAGAGCTTCCCCACCAGCACAGATCCATGGATATCCTGTCCTTTTCTTTGTGGGTTCCATCTAGGATTCCTTATAATTCCATACTTGGCCCTCTGGATTCTTATTCTCTGCACCATTCTTGGGTACCATCTAAATTATTGGCACCAACTATTATTTTTCTTACCAATGGCTCCCTAATCCTTATTTCTAGACCAGAATTCTCTGACTAGCCCTAGAACTCTATTCCTAACCTCCTGTTAGACAACTCTACCTGGTTGTCCCTTAGCCACCCCAACTGCAACACGTACACAGATAAGATAATCATCATTTCCCCTAAATATGCCCTCCTGTCTGGCCCAACTAGAGGAGTGATGATCTGCCCGCTACCCATCTGGGAAGGTACCCTCAGTACCTATCTGTCCCTTTACCTCTACACCAAGCACAGTAGATACTATGTCTGCAATCTGCAATCAGCTCCCTCCTGTGCATTTCTAGTCTCCTTGCCCTGGTTTAGGCCCTTGTCTTATTGCATGGATCACTATTGTAGCGTCCCAAGGATCTCCTTGCTGCTGTTCTGGGCCTCCTCCTAAGTAATCAAGCAAGCCACTGTCGGAGTGACCAGTCTTAAACTAAAGCTTGATAGAGTCATTTCTGTTTGAAGTCCTTTAATAAAGTCCACACTGCTTAGTTTACCTTAGGCAACCAATTTTTTGTGATCGACTTCTCCAGCAGCCTGCCTCATCCTTGACTTTAGGCCTTTAGGTCTGCTAGGATCTCCACAAATACATCCTGTTGTTTCATGTTCCTAGGTGTTTTCATATTCTGTTCCCTCTGACTTTTCATCTGGCTCACTACTACCTTACAAAATCATAGATAAATTAACCTCTGTTTTGTGAATTAGCTGGTTTAGATATTATGAACATCCAAATTAATATTCCTTGACTGTTTGTCATAAAATTTGATAGGATGATCTCATATGAGTGTGTTAATTTGATTATACAGCCATCAGATATTTATTGAGGATCTACTGTGTGCTAGGCACTGGGTTAGGGGCTGAGATATAAAAAATGAAAAGACATGGTCCTTCCTTCAGCTAGCTCCAACTCTCATGGTGAGGGAGACATGCAAATAAATATTTAAAATAGAAGGGTGTACAGAGTAGGGAGTAGAGAATAGAGCACCTAAGTCCTTTATGGGAGAGCACCAGGAGGGTGTCCTGAAGGATGTAGCATTTGCACAGAGATCTGAAGGGTGGAGCAAATTTTGCCAGGG